CTTTTGGCATGTTATTTATGTAGTACTGAGCAAACGGCCAGTTATCAGACCATGAGCGGTTTGTTGCGAGTAGGACCTTGAGTTTTTGGTGTAGGTCGCGATGAGTCCGTTCAACTTTACCATTCGCTTTACTGTGATAGGCTGTAGTAGTTGAGTGACGAATTTCGAATCGCTGGAGAATCGCTCTTGTTTTTGGTCCAAACTCACCGCCATTATCAGAAACGCAATTCTGAGAGATGCCATGACGCAGTATGAGTTTGAGGAAGGCTTATGCCACTAAGTTATCAGTTTTATTCGAAAGTGGTTCGCCATCCAAATATCCAGTTAAACTATCGACATACGTGAGCAGGTATCGTTTTCCATTGCGATCAGTTCGTCCATAATCGACGAGATATATGAATACTTTTTCGAAGGGTAATTGAGCAAAAATTCTGTCCTTAATGAGCGATGGGCGAAGTTGTTTGAGTGGTTTAAGTCGGATGCATGTTTCACACGAGCTGGTGATCGCTCTGACTTTTTGTTGAACATTACTGATGAAAAATCTTGTGAGCATTTGCACTAGCTGTTGACTTCCAGCGTGAGCGGTTATTGTGTGCAAGTATTGTATAAATTCATCAGCAAGCGAACTTGGGAGAACAAGTCGATCACGAGAATAGAGCACATTGTCCTTGATCGTGAATCGCTTCTAATAAGGATTTATTTGCGATTTGACAATTAAATTTCTCGTGTCCGAGCAGGCATTCTGAGCAGTTGCCATTTCTTCTGACGAAAATGAGCGATCTTCGAAAGAGAATATAACATCATCTTGTGAAAGAGCGTGAGCAGCAAATGTTGTGTCAGCGACATCGAAGTAGTCTTCTGACTCTCTTTCTAGATCAGCGGACTTTGATTTCGGTAATCTGCTGAAGAAGTCGGCAGATGCCATTTCCGGACGTGATCCACTTTTATGTATGATGTTGAAATTAAATGAGAGCAGGTAGTGATGAACATTCACTAATTTTATATCCAATTTTGATCGGCGCGCTTCACGGAACAGGAAGAGCAAACTTTTATGATCCACATAAACATCGAATTCAGTGTTAATTAGGTAGTATTCAAAGAACTAAATACCCCAACACAATGCAAAAAGTTCTTGGTGTGGAATATTTAATGATGATTGAGTTTCCTGAATAATTCTGAGATGCTTCCATTTTTCGATTTCTTTTTGAACTTGAGCTTGTGAATGGATTGGAATAGGTCTTGGAGGTTGATGAGAGGATTTTGTTTCATCGAAGAGCGGAAATGTATATCGAAATCCGAATAGTCTGCCAATATCATCGCTATCCATATTGAAGCTTAGCCTGTACTTGTGAATGAGTTTATCTAATTCAGCTTTTTGTCGAGGAGTCGATGAGCCGTATGAACCAATTTCTGGAAAGAAGTTTGTCTTTTGAGCGAGTTTAGATCTTCTTTCGATGAATTCCTTATGTTTATGTTTTTCTTCACCAGATTTCTTGTCTATTTCTATAAAACAGTCGTTTTCCATCTTTAGAGCGTTTTTCGGATGACAAGGGTTGACCAAAACGCTCTTAAGTTGGAAAATTTACGATCAAACTAGGATGACAGTGGGTAAAAATGATGCTTATTATGCATAAAATGAGCTCTTTTCAGAACTCTAACAATGTATCCGAGGTCATTTTTACCTATTTATGATAAAATATTTACGATCTTTCAATCAGAATGAATGATTTCACCTAAAAATAAGCGTAGAAAACATCATTTTTAATGATTTTTAAGGTTAAAATAAACGTTATTCTGATAATTAATTAAAAATACCCAAAAACGCTCTAAAGTTGGAATTTTTGCTGATGACAAAATACGGAAAATATTGGCAAAAACGCTCTTAACTTGGGCGCTCTTAAGATGGAAAACCACGGTACCTGTAAGAAGTAAGTCTGATGAGTAGGGATCAATTGTTGGTATGGTTTTGTTTTGGAGTGTGATTGAGTTATCTCCTATCGTGATGTTTTTGAGCGTGTCCATAACACTTAAGAGTGATATTTGACGGTTTTTGATGGATGGATGCAGGAAGAAGAGCGAGAACATCTGAGCGGATGCATGTTCTACTGCAACCAGAATCAATGAGAGCGGGTAATCGGAGTCCATTAAGCAAGATTTTGACATATTTAAGCGAGGCGGGAGCAAAGTTAACGTATTTACACGTTTCTGTTGACTGAGCTAGTCATGCCTCATTTTTGAGCGCGTCCTTGATTTCTTTTGGGACCTTGTCGCTGTAAATGTACTTGTATTTTGAGCCGAATCTACACTTTTGATGCTTCGTGTAGGTGATGCAGTGTCCGTCAAGTTTCTTCATAAGTTCCTTTGAAAGTCGTCGTCTTGGGACTTTTTGCTTCTTTTCTGGAGCATTTGACAAAGTCGCGACGATTTCTTTTAGCTTCGAGCAGAGCTGTGAAAGTTCTGAGTTTTGAACTTTTGATTGATCATCATTGGCGAAAATATTTTCTCTCTTGAAGAAGGATCGTTCAAGTTCTGTTGCACGCTGAGCAATGTTTCGGAGATTGAGTAATGACTTTTCCCGTTTGAGCAGTTCCATAAGTCGCGGTTCTTGAGCTGTAATGAACCGTTCACAGATAATTGATTCGTCAGCTGCATCCAAAGTTTGTTTACCATAGCCTTTTTTGAAGTAGGCTTGCAGCTTTGTCAGAGCCATTGCTTGAGTTTCGCTTCCTCTTTGGAATGAGTTGTAGAGATGTTTGTAGTATTCTCAGTCTTTTCCAAGAACGTCAGAAAGTTTGGTCTTGAACGCATTCCAATTTTTATGTTCTTCTGGAGTGATTGCTTCAATCAAAGAAGTTCCGCTTTCTTCTGTCAGGAGCTGAGACAGGGCGACTTTGATAAGTTCTTCTTCAGAGATGATTGAGCATGCCTTGAACAACTCCATCGCATTAATCCAATTCTCAACTGGTAATTGAGAGTCAAACTTTGGTGTTTTCATCTTAAATTTTCCAGAGGCACTAATTGGATCAACTTTTTGGGAGCTGCCGTGAGAGTTCTTTGCAGAAGATTGAGCTTTTTGTTTGGTATTTCCAGAGGACTGATTTCCGGTAGGATTTCCGGTCGAGGTGCTAGGTTTTTGCTCTTGAGAGTTTTGAGGTTCCGGTTTGACATCGATTTTGGAGTCTTCATCAATTTTTTTATAATTGATGCAAATTGATCCATTGTCACAATTTCGTTTATCTTATCAATGTCAATTCTATGATCGGATCTGGCAGTCTTTTGAACTGCCTCACCGACATATTCAGGATCATATCCGAGAATATCACCATTTTTCCGGAAGTAAAACTTCTTTTCACGGTCTTTGAGAAAATCGGGTTGAATTGCCAAAAGGTTCAAAACAATGCCCGTTTTATCGAATCTCGGAATCGGAAGTGGATATTCAGGACTAGGATGCCTGTCATAAATGACCATGAGTTTTTTTGCCGTAAGATCGACATTAGTCTTGAAATAGATTTCTTCAGCCATGATGGATGAATTGTCCCTAAACTGTTAAACTTACCGGATGTCAATTAATCTCTTATATCTCTATTGATGGGCGTACCGATTATTTCAGTCACCAAAATATATGGTGGTTTTATACTGAAAGTAATTGGAACACGGGAATCAATCTCGAATATGTTTATAAACCCTGATAGGTGTGAGCAAAAAATAATAAAATATATCTATATAATATTTTATGTTATACCTGTAAAGTCAGGGAAAAGAATGATAAAATTATAGAGATACAGTCGTTTTTATAGTGTAGGACACCACCCATCGATGGCACGGACTTAGACTTGGTCGTATCAACTCGGCGTTGGCCATATCGCCAACGCTGGAATAGAAAGGGGCGAGCTGTCAAGGTATGATGGAGTGAAAGCCTTGGCGTTGGGCGCGTCACGCCTCACTGAGCATAATAACGTTGACCACGCGCGCTAGAATTCCATATTTCGAAGCGAAAACAGTAGGAAAACCACTACAAGTCGCCCATCGAAAGACCCTGTAGCTGTCTGTAAACTTTTTCGCAACATCGAAATGCGGTATATTTTTGTAAAACAGCCTTTAGTAATGGCCGTTATTTTGTTTTTGGAATCGGTTGTTTTAGTTTACCCTTTTTATCTCTGTATCTAGGAAGACATTTATGCGGTGACTTAACATTATAAATTTCATTTTCAAAAAATGAGATGAGAAGATCAGTGTCAACAGATGGATATAATTTAGTGATATCTAAAGAAACGTAATCAAATTTTGACATGTCAAATTTCTCGGATTTGAACCACAATGAAAACTCTTTGGAATTTCGAACGCAAAATTTTGGAGAGAATGATGTCAAAATAGGTTCCAAAATATGTTTTAGAAGGATTCATCCGTGTATTTTTCGACACTTCTGGAGAAGTTGAGCTGTAAGTTCCTCGACTTGTCGGTTCTTTCCTTTGATGGTTTCTTCGAGTGATGATTGATTCAATGCTCGTTGAATTTTCCGTTGCTTCAGCGAGCTGTTGCTCAGAAAGATTATGAGTCTTTGCGAGTTGTTCCAGCTGGTTTTCAAGCTCATCCCTGTTTTTTTTTCGAGTTGAGCTATTTTCGACTGAGCAATACTGATCTCTTCGAGTTTTTGCTCAAGTTCTTGTTTAGAGTGCGCTTTGAATCGAGCAATTTCGATCTGAAGCTCGTCCCGTTTTTTTTCTCAACTCATTCTGTTTTCCTTCGATTCTTCCTGCGTAGAGTTTATTTCTTCTTCGAGCTTTGTTCTCTCCCCGCAGAATCGTTCTGCCGCAGCTGTCGATGAGTCTTGTAGAGTTTTGACATGTTCAGAGACTGAACGAAGGTAATTCTCTAATTGAGCACGCTCTGCAACAAACTGCTCTTTTTCTTTCTCTCGGAGCTTATTTGCATCTTCTTTCTCCTTTTCAAGAGCTTCTTTCTGTCGCTGGAAAGATCGATTTGCACTTTCTCCTTTGCTATTACTCTGCTCCAGGTCGATTCTTAGCGTTCGATTTTCTTCGCGGATTTTGTTTTGAGTCGCTCGCGTTTCCAATATTCTCCTCAGCGACCTTGGTGTTGTTCAAAAGAGTGCTTTGGAATCGCTCACGCTCGTCTGGTGTCATTTCATCGAGCTCAGTGATTGATTTCGTTAGCTCCTCGACTTGAGCTGTGAGCTGACCGATCTGATTCTCAATGTTAAGTTTCGCACTTTCCCATCCTTCTTGTTGTCTTCTAGCTTCGCTTGCACGCTCGTCGAAATCCTTGTTCGCGTTTTGAATGGAAAGCTTAACTTGTCGCTTTTCTTCTCCCCAATCAGCAGCTTTGGTGTTGATATCCACCTGAAGTAGGCGAAGACTCTCGGCAAGATCCATCGTCTGCTTTTGGGACTTTTCTAGTTCAACTTGATGCTGAGCAAGCGCATTCGTAAGTTCAGCTTCTCGATCTTGGTACATTTGGAGTTGTTGATTGTATTCATTGTTTTGCTTCCCTAATTGATTTTCAGGATCTGCAGATTTCTCGGTCATTTCTTGAACAGCATTTTCGAGTCGTTTGCGTTCCTCAGCCCAAGAATTTTGCTTGTCTTTGAATTCTTTAGTCAACTCACGGGTCGCCTGATTTAGCTGTTGTTGGAGAATTTCAGTCGTTTCGACTGAATCGGACTGTAATTTCTTTGCTTGGACTCCAGTTTTTTCAAGTTCTTCCTGGTTTTCTGCTAGGAGCTTTTCTACTTCCACCTTGGATGTTTCCAACTTCTCATTTTGATTTTGAACAACGTCAAGTTGTTTCATCGTTTTAGAAATTTTCATTTCATACTCCCGCTGTTTTTCACCAAATGGAGTTTGAGCATTTGTTTGTGCATCCTGAGCTTCTTTCGAATAGTTTTCCAAAGATTTAACGAGCTGGTCTTTCTCTTGGAGATGACGCTGCTCTTCAGCCGTGATTTTCTGTTCCAAACTGCTTTTTCCAGCTTGGAGCATAGCAAATTGAGCCTGAATCTGCTGCGCTGCTTCTGTCATCTTAGTCGAGGTGGACTCTTTGGAAAAAAAACTCCTGCTGAAGCATTTCGATTATTCTAGCGCGGCCGGAAACAGTCTCCTTGAGCTCAACGACTTTCATGCGTCGCATTCGTCCCATGTGGGCTTCGTTGAGCACTGGATTGCCCTGCGCCGCTCGCAGGGCTTCTTGAAGGTATTGCTGTAATTGTTTGTCTTTGGCCTGGAGGTGAGTCTGCATCTCGATCACATTCTGCTGAAGCGTCGTTGAATTCTTACGAAGTTCCCATCGATCCCCTCATTTCCGTCAGTTGAGCATGATATTGTTGAGCAAGAGCAGTGTGCTCACTTGCTTGAAGCTCAATAGCCTGGCTTGAGGCTCGTTGCTGAGCGAGTTCTTGCTCGTGGTGGGATCTCGCCTGGCGGAAATTTTCAGAAGCGCCTTGAAGTCGACGCTCGAGCTCTTGATTCAGTGAGTTGAGCTCGACAACTTGACGTTCCAAGCTTAGCTGTTTGGACGTGACGCCGGATAATTGGTAGTCACCGCCATTCTTCTGGTTGCCGGATACTGACGGAGCGCGTTTTGGATATTTGCCTTCTTTTTGAGATACTTGTTGGTTCAGCATTGTGAGGTGTTCAGACAGTGTCTAGCCGCCCCGGTGTCTGGCCGCCCCGTCGCAGATGATCTTCTGGGCCAGAATAAAATGACCACATCGAACGGGAATCTGCATCTGGATCCATGCGAGTGAAAACGGGAGGCTGACCATTTCGCTGTGATCGCTTGCTTTCTCGAAATTAGCCTTGACCTAATATACGTGAGTTTGCCCCGGGCGGACTAAAAGTGTCTCTAGCTCCACCTACGAGTCCTGGCGGAGGAGAGAAGCTTGCTCTCATTATTTTTTTGACATTTTGAAACCCAATTTTCAATTGCAGTTTTCAAATAACCATTTTTTTGCGAATAATGAAATTCCTGCAATTCAACCCGAGAATAAGCCTAGACCTATACTTTCATCAGTTTATTTAAAAAAAATAAAAATATTTTAATTAAATATCGATTTATAGCGACTTGGGTTACTTGAAAGCTCTTTAGCGACGAAAACCCTTCACTAGCGCAAAACTACTCTCAAACTCACTTGTTTTTTTTTTATATAAAGATATTTTCGAATACAATAATTTAAGTGTTGTTATCAAGGCTGCAAAAGAATCGTTGGAGGAGAATCAGAGGCTACCGATAGGATTCTTATTCGGAAAATCAGGACTTTTTTCATGAAAAATCGTCTCTTTTTCACTTCCCCTCATATGAACGGGCGCGGTCCGCCATTTCTAGCTTCGCGGCTCGTTTATATAGGGCCTCCTTTTTTACGACGTTTTAATATTTATGACGATGGCTCCAGCCCTAATTATTTTCCAGGGTATCCAGCTGCTCCTTTTAAATGATGGCTCGCACGTGTTCTAGTTGCTTAATATTCATTTCCTGCATTGTTACTTCTCAGCAGATTTTTACGCTTTGCACCTGCTTCTAGTTTTTCGTTTTCCAGGGTATTCAGCTGCTCCTTTTAAATGAGGGCTCGCACGTGCTAGTTGCTAAATGTTCATTTCCTGCATTGTTACTATTCAGTGGAATTTTTACGCTTTGCACCTGCTTCTAGTTTTTCGTAATTACAGCTTGAACAAAGGGATCCCAAACAATAGTTGGTTTTCCATTCTCTCGATTGCCAGCTGTCCCCTAAAATTACACGGAAGAATTATTTTTTGGTGGGCCCGCAGCCTAATTATCCCTAGCGTGCGTCAAACAGAAAATACACAAAAACCAAACAAGCAACTTCCTTCCGCGAATAATCTCATCCTTTTCATAGACATCTCCTGATACGACCTAGGAAAATATCGTAAATTCACGATTTCTCAACGTTCGCGAATCTTGGCCTTAACATGCAAGCAGTAGTTTAAAAATTGATCCCCAGCATCACACAATTTTGACGTACACCAATTTGCGAACTGTATAAAAAAAAGAATCAAATTTCAAGCGATTACTTCTCTTCATAGATTCCATTGTCCACACATTTTGTATATTCAATAAGGCTTTGGGTCGTCAAAACTTCTGACACCAAAATGTGATGATCTCTAGTAGTAATATCGCGAGTAGCGAAATATTAAGTGGCCTAAGTGCCCGAGACCAGCTGGTCACCTGGGCCGACAAGTTCACGGTACCAGATGGTCAAGGGCTACGCACGTGCCATTTCCGTTCTCTAATTGCTCCGTTGAACACGTGTAGCCACTTCTAACAAATTTTCAAACAATGACCGTATTCCGTGAAATTTCAACAAGCAAAAGATCAGTTTAAATATCAGATGAGTTCAAAGAAAAGGCGAAATCGCTCTTGCCTGGCGCAGGAAAAGTACGAACAACTTGCTGACGAGTTCGTCGAAGGATTTATGAAAGCTTTCTGATTCGTGGAAGAACTTTCACTGCCACTTTCTTCAGTCCTTCATCTGCCACTCATTTTTCACAAAAATATATTTATCGAATATTTATGCTAAAACACGTGTCGTTTTCTTCCTTGATTTCGCAGAGCATGCAGAACTACGCTAGATCAAAGTTGTTATCAATATCTCCCAGAGGCTAAAGCCGAAATAAAGTTGGTAGAAATCTCTAAAAGATGATCTATAATGACGATTGCTTGCAGATGCTGAGTGGAATTTTCAGTAGTTCGATCTCTATCGCGGATTGAACCATCTGTGGTTCAATCTGTTGGAACAATCTGATGGCTCGTTCCGCGCTATTTATTATCGATCGATCAACCGAAAATTTCACTCAGAATAAAAATCAGAGCAAAACACAGAAGATTTTCTTCTTTTTCTCTTTTTCTACGATGTTGACCTATGGTGAGTTCAAAATTTTGTAAATAGATAGGGGTTATTAGAAGGGGTAGGATAGGATTAATGTAGGAAGCGAATGCCCTCAACAAGGAAGTCCCTCGAGACATTGGACAGGAGAAAAGCTTACTTACGTAAAAATATAAGGGGTTAAAATTTTGTAGCGGTTAGCTGTCACGAATGCAATCGAAGTGATCATTTTAGATAGAAAGATTGGAAAGTGCTGTTGACAAAATAGATTAGTTTTTGAAAATTGTAATTATTGACTCACATTAATTTTTGTTTAGAGCATCTCAAAAATAAGAGGATGAACCGATACTTGAAGAAGCAAAAGATGAAAAACTTGCCTGTGGATATCGCCCTCGATGAGGATTTTCGTCGCGTTTGGGAAATCGCGGAAACGTTTCAACTCCGAAACTCTGACCTATTTGAGGAGAAAATCAATGATACTGAGTAAGTTTTCTGCCAGTAAAAATGAGTTACAAAATCTTTAAGGCTTAGAAAATTCATCGGAAAGTCACAACGAAATCTCGGTAGATCAGTCATCCTCATGGTAGAATTCTTCGGTCGAGTTCCAAATGCAAAAAACGCCAGAAATTTTCAACAACTGATTGAAACGTAAGTCATGAATACATCGAGCAGAGCAGGATGGCAGATCTACCGAGATTTCGTTGTGGCTTTCCGATAAATTTTACTAGCAGAAAACTCACTCAGCATCATTGATTTCCTCCTCAAATAGGTCAGAGTTTTGGAGTTGAAACGTCTTTTTTTTCTTTCTTTTTCTTCTTTATTTTGTAAAATAAAAATAAAATCGGTTTCTTCGGAAGATTCGCATTAATGATCTGCAGAATACAATTAATCACCAGCAAAACTTGAGCATAAAAATGGCCAACGAAGCGAGCATCTCCTCCATGATAAAAATAAGATTGAACTCTGTGAATATTATGCCGTCCGTTTATCGCCACAGTATTTTGGTTCGAGACCGAAATCTATTATTTTCGAGTAAGGTGAACACGGTGAACGCGAATTTGCGCGAAATTGGCTTCGCCCCGCGAGTCGAAAGAGGACTGAAAAAGAAAAAAGTGACTTCATTATCTCACTCTCTCTAACATGGGTCAATTTGATTTTATTTTTCTTGGCAGAATTTCGCTGAGAAGATGAGGCTCAAAATTTTCGTCATTTTTTGCCGAGTTGTAGGTTCCCAACTTTTTTTCAAACTTGCAGTCTTCAAATTTAATATTTGCATAGACTTGAACTGTTCTTCTGAGTTCACTTTGAGTTGCTAAGTCTTTTGAAATTAGACAAATACGCATCGGCGGATGGTCATCTCATGGCAAGTTTTATTCTGTGTTCTTCGTGGTTTTGGCAGTGAAATTGAATTTTGTAAAATATATTTGTAAAGGCTATCTTTTGATGAGTTTTGAAAAGGCTTTCTCGAAGGAGTAGTTAACGTTTTTTCGCTTTTTTCGCGCTGCAGAATTTGTAGATCTTGTCGATTTTATCCTTCATGGCTTTGAGTAATTTCACTTGATCGTTGATATTCATCAGCTAAAAATGGAATTGAAACTAAGGCGTTAAGAGTGAAAAAGGAAGGGAATGTCAGAAGACCAATAAGAGAGCGGTATCGCTTCCCCGAGCAAATAAGAAGCCAGAACCGTGTAAGAATCTCCCGCCGCTTTTTTTTCCGACCTTTCGTCCTCTCTTGCTTTGAAAGCTTAGAAAACCAGAATTGAAAAATTACCTTCTCAAAAAAAGTCTGATTAGCGGGGGCGGTCCCTGCTCATACATCTTCTTCTGCCGTTTAAAAGCCTTTTTTCGTAGAGACGCCATATTCCCGTATCTTTTCTGAGCTCAAAATCTTCCAAAATCTGAACGAAAAATCTTGTCTTCTTCCTTCAAATAACGCTGATAATGAGTTTGATGATTGAATATTTCAACGTCACCATCAACTTTTTATAATTGCTTTGGAAACAGCTCCTATCTTGTTCGACCAATTTATTACTGCGGTCAATTTATTCTTGAGAGCATAATAAACAGAATCGATACAAAGGGCTGTTACTCTATTTCAGCCAGAAATCGCAGAGCACACTTTCCTACGACATTCCGTTTTTGAAATTTGCGTACAAATCACTCTACAAGGATACTAATCGTGCTTGAATATTTTCCTTCAGCCTGATTAAACCGACTTCCAAAAATGAAACCGTCAAATCGTGCATCGACCTATCTCTTTATTTCGAATTGAAAATTTCCGGCCGAATAGATCGCTCTATCAATTCTATCGTTCTTTTGTTGATTTTCTTGATTTGAATCATGGGATAAACGTTTGCAAGATCTGAAAACTTTTATGAAGCTAATACGGCTCTATTATTATTGATTATCTAGGCAATGAGCAATGGTCTGATCAAATTGGAAAGAGTCGTCGCCAAATGCGCTAGAAGCACAGTACATCAAGCTAGCTTTGAGTTTACAGTCGGATGATTGCAGAGAGCAAGCACGTTTTATAAAAAGCTTAGTCGCAGCAAAAATAGAGTTTTTTTTGCTGGAATATAATGCGATAACAGGCATCATGTGACTGGACGACAGGGAGAAGCTCACTTTAAGAATTCGGTTAATCTTTAATTACAACTGTAATATTAGCGTTCGCCAAATCCTTCCTCCGATTCCAGAAAACCCTGCTCAAGAAGAAAACGCTCCCGTAGTCGAAAATGATCCCGTAGTAGAAAACGCTCCCGTAGTCGAAAGAGATCTCGAAGCAGAAACCGTTCCCGAAGGCGAAAACGCTCCCGTAGTCGAAAGAGATCTCGTAGCAGAAAGCGTTCCCGAAGCCGCCAGCGTTCCCGAAGGCGAAAACACTCCCGTTGTCGAAAGAGATCTCGTAGCAGAAAGCGTTCCCGAAGCCGCCAGCGTTCGCGAAGGCGAAAATGAAGACGAAGATGCTCTCGACTTTACGTCTGCTCCCGATATTTTCAATTCAACCTTGCTAACCGCTGGAAACACGCCAATCTTTCTCCCGGACATGACTTTTCTTGATTCTCGCATCCATCCTTCTCCCTCCGGATGGAGCGTTACTGTCGACTGGGATCCCGAAAGGGTAAAAACCCTGTGCCGCGAGCTCGTAAGATATTTTTATTTTTGCCATTTTGGAAGGGTTTCTAATCGATTTTTCTCGTTTGGCAATATTTCTCAAAAGGACAAATTTCTCCAGAAAAATCATGAGACCCTTTCATTCGTCAGTATAAATTTTATAAAATATTGACGGGCCTCTTAGCTTGCATACCCGAGATTTCAAAGAAGGGTCACTAAATTGGAGCAGCCGCGTAACTTGCAGAGCGAGCTTGAATCAAAACCTCTTGATGCGAACTACGATGTTGGCCGTTGTGGCTTGCTTTTTGACTTGAGCCTCTCGCGAGGAGAGCGAATTGGAGATCCGCGAGTAATTATAAAACTCACAAAATCATTCATCATTTTCACATGTCATTTTCACGTCCAAACTTTTTTGGTTTTGCATTTGAAGCGAATGATTTGATTCCTGACGCGATTCCTAAAGACAAAACTCAGTAAAGCGACACTAATCGTGACAGTATAAAAGATATCACTTTGCTTCCAACTGACAAGTTAATTCGAATAAGAAAGTTGCATACTTTCCATTACCGCTCGCCACAGAATTTTTACTGTTATTTTATCAGTAAATTAGGTATTGCACATTTTGATGGAGCAAGTTTGCTTGAAAAGTGGGAAGGCTTATTTGTACTCGTCAATGGCGGAAGAGGCGACAGCTTCGGCGGAAAGCTGTGACGAGAATTTTAAGATCTTCCTTGAAAAACTCATCGACGATAAACTCGACGATACCAATGCTTGCATCATGAATCCGCGGGATATCAAAAAACGATTCAAACTCAGGGGAGGGGTTAATATCATATCTCGATTAGTCCTTTGGGCGCGCTTTTTTTGACTCGAAGCCGCAAGCGGCTTCTCGATTTTTGACAGTAATATTACTTCAGAAACAATTTTATTTCAAGCGAAAATCAGCTAGTCAGAAATAAGAAATGCGAAAATGAAATCAAGGAAGATTACCAGGTCGAACATCGAGTTTCCGACGAGATTATGAACTGCGTTTATCTTCTCTTTTGTTCTTTTTTCAAGGTTGACTTTTGAAGGTCAAACCCGTCGCTAGAATGTCATACTTTTCCTGTACGGATCAAAGGCTAAAAAGTTCTAAAAATCTCTGCTAAAAGAGAGGAAAAAATGTAAAATTGTCAATCTGAGTTTTAAATTTCGCACGGTTAGTTAAGCGATCTTCGCGCATGTTTTCCGCGCTGCTTTAATCTGTCACAAGGGACTTTTGAGCTTGGTCAAATGCTCAAATGCTCTTTGAAATTTCTGCTTGGGTGAAGATTTTTTTCATTAATTCTAAATATCTGTAAATGATCAGCAAAGTAAGACCTTAAAACCCTTTTTTTTGAAAAGACAAGCCCCGAGATCAAATAATGATTGATAAACTAAAATCAATCCAAGAAGAAATTGGCCTTGTGCCGATTACGGCACATATGTTTAAAAGTACTTCAAGGTGGTACAGTTTGGACTCGTGCCTTGTGTGGCGGCGGGATGGAAAGCGAAAAAGAAGTTGCGACAACAAGCTCGTGTGTAGCGACTTTCGGACCATGAAACTGGAAGCCCTTCAATATTGGACTGGTTTTATTTTTTTGAATTTTCGGTCGTGATAAAATTTTCGAAAGAACTCATTTTTATGTGGGTGGGGGTTAAGGGGCTGCTAGATATGAAAAAAGAGTCCTTCAAAAAGGGATTCTCTTGCCGAAAATAATTTGTGCGGATCAGTATTCCATAATCGTACAATTCCAGAGGATACGACAGTCGGAGCTGAATCCGAAGGCGGGAGCCGCAATTGATCCCTTTTCTGAGACTTTACCTGGACATCAGGTTTCAGCAAAGTGTCCAGGCAGAGCCTCGGATCAGGGATCAATTGCTATTTTCCGTCTTAGATGAAGACTAAACAACTTTTCTCCAGCAACTCTTTCTAGCACCTCTTTTAACTTCTCTTCTATTGGCGTAAAATATGTTTTACTGTGTTTTTTCTTCGTTTTTCTCTCATTTCGAAATCTCGTTTTCAAAAATCTTTTAATAGTAATCATAAAATAAACAAAAATATATCGCGACATTCTGTTATTGCAGCTGAAAGTTGCATCAATCAAACAAAGGCAGAGCAAATTTATTGAAAACAACTATTTCAGCACCGTTATCTTTATTGATATTGAAGATCTGGCAGGTTGATTTCTTTATCATTACAGAAGAGTCGAATTTATTTTATGTGATTGCTTCAGCAGCTCGTTAGCCGAGAAGAGTGTCATGGAGAGTTTATTTAGATTCCGCCTGAAAAACAACTTAAATCGAAAGCTTTGAAGTGATTACCCGCAGTTTTTGTCACGATAATGGTGAAAATCAAGAACGATCTTAGCATTCCAAAATAGTTGTTCATCACATATCTCTCGTTGAAATCATTCAGGCCAAGAAAAGTCTTGGCTGGTCCGATGCTTAAGACCATGATAAATTATGAAAAGCAGTCAAAATTATTTCATCAGATGTTTCTCTTCGAACTGGTCGGCTTTTGATTCTGGGCGAGATTTAGGGATTCTTTCTAGTTGGATTTTTATCATTTTTCTTCGACTTGACGGCTTTATCGAGAACGTTTTTCACCGAGTTTACTTGGTTCATCAGATTGTTTTTAAAGCTGGTATAGTTGTTTGTGGTCTTTCTTCTCGTTGAATTTTGAATTCACATTAGCGGAAAATGATGACGCTTCTTCTAATCTATTCAGCTTTTTGCCGCAATAAATTGATATTTGATAATGTCTCCGTGTCACGCTGCACGAATTCTACAGATCTCTCTGCGATTATGTGCAAAACATGCTTGGCGATGCGGATTATCTCATGTTCTATTGGGTTGATTATATTAGCGATTCTAAAAACAACCAGTTTTTAACCAGGAAAAACAAAAAAGATAAATATACTGATTACTTATCTTCTGTTCTATTCGTTTTTGCGCAAGCGTATCTTTCCAGCAAAGCTGGCACTTTTGTATCGTCATTGAAAACGTCGCCCCATCAAAGATTTTGGCTGAGGTCATTTTCCGTTCCCAGAGGTAGAACTTGCGTCTTTAACTTTGGTTTCAGCACGAGGTTTTTTCCAGTGGTTTTGGAGTAAGTCCTAACCGACCCATTATGTCAAGCACCAAGCTTATACTTTCATCGCTTCCGCAGAACTTGGAAATTGTCAAATCTCTGGAAAACATTAAGTCCGGGCAGCGGTCCAGCGCGCATCGAATCATAAACTTGTCCCGGATTAAGATACTGTCTGAATCTTCGCAGAAATTGAACACCTAAGAATCAATCAACTTCGGCGGTTGATACGGTGACGGAAAACAAAATTCACAAGGAGTTATTGAAGGCTGTGGTGTTTGATGATTGCTCATAGTTTGTCGACCATTATTCACTCACATAAAATTTTGGTCATCGACGAAGAAAAGATTCATGAAGAAGGTACGCATTCTGAGCTAATGAAGCTGCAAAACGATGTATCAACTGTCAGGTCTTTCCCGATCCTCTTCTTCTTTATCTCTACTTCTTGATTTTCCTCCAATTTGATTTTCCTTTCCCGTCTTTTTATAAATCGAGCGCGAAAATCATTTTTACAGCTCAAGTTCTGATCGATCAAGCTTTGATTTGAGAAGATTCAGCAAAATAAGCACAAATGGAAGCGAAAACGTCAAAAAATTTTTGATAAGAATAAAGCTTTGAGCTCAAATTTGTGGCAAATAAATATCCAAAATTTCTTCAAAAGATAAAAAAAAGATTTTTCTACCAGCAGCTTTCCAACAAATCTCTCGGTAAGTTCTTCCACCAAATAAGTTTTGGCGGGGCGTGGATCGAGCGAGCAGCACCGCGTCGATGCAAATTTGAAAACACCATAATTTTTTGCGTGAAAAGAACGCATGGAATTTTTATTTTTCTTCATTCTTTTGAAATAAAATTACTTTCCAAAGTATGTTAAAGTATCCAAAGTTATTCAACTTTACTTAGTTTATCATGTCAAAAAACGATACTACCGAAACCAAAAACTTAAAAATTTTCTTTCTCAATTCAAAAACAGAAGAATATTCTGAGTTTGGACCGCACGAGCGCTCAAATTCAAAGGGGCAAGACAGGAAATATCGACGAAAAGCTCGAATTTGCTTTCTCTTTCGCAAATCTTACGATTCAAGGCCAATTTCGAGAAGTGACAGTCTTTTCGGAAATTCTTGAATAGGTTAGGAAACAACCGTATTTTATGAATAATTCGATGCTCCATAAATGGTATAAATACCATCATTTTATTGTCCCATTTGCAAAATATTAAACACAACAACGGCTCCCTTTCATAATAAAAACCGTCTCGCCATAAAAAAGAACTGCTATTTATTCAGATAGTCGCAGTGATTTGTAGAAAAGTATCGAATTTTTTTCGGAACATGCATTTGCTTGAACATGATTTTACTGATGAGTATTTTGCGTTTATGACTGTTGAGCTTGTTTGGCTTTGTATTCGTCTGTTGTTTGATAGAATTTGGCCGACCAGTCAGCCCGAGTGTGAGATTGACGGAAAATGAAACTTAGATGATCACCATTGAGTAACGGCTCCAAATTTAGCCAGTGGCGGTGAGAGAAGCGGATTGATTCAGTGACAGTTTTTCAGGGTGTTATGAATAGTTCTTAATATAAAGCTTTAGCGCTAGCGCGGTAAACTGTGTAAAAACCTGTGTCAGGTTCTGAAAAATAATATTTTCTGGCAAAGATCTTTTAGACCCTGACTCAGGTTACCTTACCGAACCCAGATCCAAGTATCACCTGAAATAATCATCGATTCCGGCAAGGCTCCATTTCAACGTAGGCGCCCAGAAAAAGATTGTCTTTGGCCCAGCAGAATTATCTGAAAAATCGACATAAAATCAACAACGAATCAGGCATGCATGCACATGTATGTCTAGTTACTCAAATGATGAAGACGAGAAATTGTTGTTCAATGACTTTTCCAGTCTGACTAACCAAGCCATATTTTTTGAGAGACAGACAGAAACCTTCTCATGGCGAAATTTGCGAACCGATTCCACATTCTTTTCTGAAAGAGAAAATCCTAGCTTGAGAAATTTTGATTTCAAAATTTAAAAAATAACAACAAGATCAATTTAACTCAGGGGGAGGGTTTGATCGCTTTAGAAGAATCAGACACTTCTGAAAAAATTATTTCAGGGGGTTGATCAATAAGGGTTTTTTTGCATCCGAAAATGCTTTTTTGATGCTTATGCAGTTATTTTTCAGTCTATTTATTCAGTCTATTTTTGCAACAACGACATTTTTAAGCTAGAAATTAGCCGACTTTTCATTGAGCTATTCAAAAACGCCTCTGACAGATTAAAGATCTAAGATAGTTTAATTTTTAGAGGCCGTATGATACCCGCTATCCATGCCATGTTAAGGGTTATTCAAGGTTAAAGTTGGGGAAATCGAAGGTAGTACCCTTAAGGTCAATTTATTCAGCAAAATTATCTACATAAAAAATTTGGATCAGTTAAGGTGATCATAATGATTTCCATATTTGTAAAATTTTTTAACTTATCGTTGCGACACCCTTAAAAGCTTCCTATCCTTCAGGTGCCCCCTGGGCTGCAAAACAATCAAAATTATTTCAAAAATCTTTAGGGGATCAGCCCGATATCCGTGTTTTATAATCACATGACGGAGGGGTCCTTGATGGAAAATGTAATTTTCTATTCAAAACCCCCGAGAGATTTTTTCTGGCCATAAATAGGGTGCCGACCTTCCTTGGTTATCAAAATGCGAGAAATTCGAGTTATCATCGAGTCCTGTAAGAATTGTCGAAAAAGACAAAAATGCAAGACTTGCAACAATCCTTTACGATGCGTTACTTGTCAAAAAGTTAAGAAACCAAAGCGCGACATGTTTGAGGAGAAACTCTACAAAAATCAAAACGGAGCCGTTTTTATCGAAGCCATGCAAGAAAATATCAACTGTTTATTATGTAAAGAAGAAATTGTTTTTGGCTCAGTCAACGTTGCAAATATGATTGACTTTCACCCTGCTTGTTATGACATATTATACTCTCATTTCATGAATTAAACTTTATTCCAGATTCAAATCAATTGGTGGAGAAAAAACTTTTTCGGAAAATAAACGTTCAAGATCGTCAGTCAGCTTCCCTTCAAGTGCAATTTTTCTAAGAATTTTCGACCGGAGAGCACAATTTTTACTCGAGCATATTCTTGTCCCGCACCGATTAGTGTAAATTGTTTCCCACCAAAAACCAACTTCACAAAAGCTTCTGTTATTGTATTTTGCGCGGCGTGCAGCATCCAAACTAAATTTTCGGTCGACTTTGATCATGACAACACCATCGTTTTTTCCTTTCAATCGAAATAGAGCTTTGAAATCCTCTCTTTTCTCAACGTCGAATGCATTCATATTATATTCCCATTTGATAAGGTTAAGCAAATATTTCTTTCTGAAGCAATTCGCATGAAATTTACATTCAGTGCGAAAAACATTGTAAGGAAAAATCATTTCTGCGATTTTCTCGGGCTCCACGCCCCTTTTATCCCTTTCTGTTTTCCCTGCAGCGATGAGTCAAAAGGAAAATGACTCATTCTTTCATATATAAAAGAGGTCAAGCTGCTTGCACTCTCAGATTATAAAATGAAACAAAAGATTTATTTGCTTTTGCGGTACTTTTTGCTTAATAATGAGTTTTGAAACCTGCTGAAATAAACTCTTGACGAAATTTGAGGTTTATATTTTATTTTTTTGAAGATCGTGCAAATATAAATAAGCGATAAAGACAGCGGTAAAAGGACAATGTGTGCGTAATTGAAAATAAACAATATCGATAAAGGCAGTGTAAAATAGGCGAGTTGCTGAAAATAATCTTGTATGTACAAATAAAAGGCAAAAAATAGAACGACGAAATAAAGAGTCGATGGAAGCGGTGGAAACTTAGATGAGGTCGAAATTGATGCGGTTATGGTAATCGTAGTATCTGAAGGCTCGCTCATCCTTGTCCATAAAAATTTGGCAACTGAAATCGTCAGTGTTCGGAGTGGCCCAAAGGACGATGCCGTTGATCACAACAACCCTTACGCCATTGACGCGGGTCAGAGCCGCCGAGACCTCACGGCCGTTGATTGTAGCTGGCAGCTGAACTGAAATTCCCTAAAAATAAAGGTTATCAATTGAAAAATTGCAGATTTGAAATTACCTCTGGCGGAAAGCGCATGGTCTCCACACGCACTGCCCCATTGTCAAAGGCACTACCGACGAGTTGAGCTTCGCCTGGCTCAAGCCTGACTCTGTGTGAGTAGTACACTCTTGACTCGGGGTCTTCGGCCTCGTAGCGCGCCTGATCGTGGAGTTCTGCAGCCCCGTTGACGACATGGAAGGGACCAGTAAGTGGCTCAATCATCGGCGCGTTGTTTTCTTCGGCGGGGTCTTCCATTGGAAAGGCGGCTTCTTGCTCCGGCTCCATTCGGGCGGCGGCTTCTTCTTCGTTTTCGGCTGGAGCGGGGTGGTCTTCTGCGGCGTTGTTTTCGGCGGGAGCAGCTCGGTCGTCTGCGGCGGCGGCATCGTTAGCTTGATCCTGGTCTTCCCTGAAAACATGATTATTTAAAGAAACTCAAAGGATGAACTTACATGACGAGCTCAGCAAGATGCTGGAGCTGCAAGTCTTCACGATTAAGAAGCGCCCTCCATTCAGGTGAAAGCATCTCGCCTTCAAACCATTCGAATTCCTCGCCTTGTCCGTCCCTAGAAAATTCTCGTCTATATTCTTTTAAAATAAACAAACCTTATCGCAAGCTCATCTCTTAGCCGTCTCTCTTGTAGCCTAGTCCATCGCTGTCGAATTTGAGTCTCAAAAAGTTGAGGATTCTGCAGGATTGCGTCGATGATATCTCGGTCAACGCTGCTGATATTCTCGAGGTCGATGAGTGTATTCATATTTCAAAAAAGATTTATTTCCGTTTTCTGAAAATCATGACCAGAGGGGTGATTTATATCGCGTCGCAAAGGGCGCCATCATTCGAGCGCGGCGCGGCATTTCAAACGCCGCGCGCAAACATGGATAGTGATAATCTCACCAACTTGCTCAACCAAGATGGATCGTGATAATCTTACTCACTAGGCCCGAAATCGATATCAAATTTATAGCAATTGAAGATAGAAATGCTAACGGCAGTAAACGGACTATATAAGCCAGCAAGACTTGCATTGATCATCAAAATGACAATTCTTCGACTCTTCTTAGCTACTTTCTACAAAAAAGCCGGAAAAATCACTGCAACCATAACTTGTTATGATGAAAACGGGGTCAGAACAAGATTAAGAGGAGACGTATCGCCATCCGAGTCAATTCAACTTCTCGAAAGCCTCGGTCAAAACATCACTGTTGAAATCCTTGGCGAAAGCCCGATGAACGAATATGAAAAGAAAAACGGCTACCAGAGCTTCTACGACTTTCGAATTCTACCACGAAAGAGATTATCTGATGAAATGAACGATGCCAAGAGAATTAAAATTGAATAAAGAGTCAAAATTGAGTTTAAAAGTTTTATTAAATCTTTGGCAAGAAAAGTTGAGCAATAGAAAATCGAGCAGAAATTCAAAACGTAGTTGTATTTACAGGCTGATTGTGTCGTAGAACGTGTCCTAGAAAAATGTAAGTCGGTTAAAACTTTAAACTTACTAACTTCGTTTGGGATCATTGGGAGGGGAATGTCAACGTCGATTTGGTCAAACGCTGCCTAAAATCATTCAGATGCAAATGGTGGCGAAACTTACTTATTTGTTTCCCTGATCGGAGGGTCAGGCCTTGATAGTGGTAGGGGTTTTTTGGCGTCTCCTCGACGGCTTCAGCACTTTCCTCTCCGCTTCCACTGTCGTCTCCAGACGAACCGCTTGAGTCGGGTTGAAAGTCCTCGTCGTTGACGTCGTCATCGTCCGGCTAATCACGTTTAGAAAAGCTTATTAGGAATAGCTTACGTCGTTGACTTTGTAAGCCCGGCCACCACAGAGAGCGGCTAATTGGAGAAGGCGACGGAAGGCAGCAGTGCCTGATAATAATAAATTTTCTGGAAAAGATAATCTTACTTGAGCAAAAACGGTAAAGGATGTAGCAGATAAACCCTCCTTGGGATATCAAGATTGTAATTATTGCAAAATGGGCTTCGCTGAGGGTGATTTTGACCGACGATGATCCATTTTCAATTAAAACTGAATATTTGACAAGATGAAGCAGTGATAATCTTACTTTCCGCTTTTGCCGGGCTTGTTGTTGTTGGCTTGGTTGTTGGTGGCTGAGTTGTTGGCGGCTTCGTTGTTGCAAGGTCGACAGGAACTACAAGATAGAAAAAAACAAAATTCGCGCAAGTACCTTTATCATCTTGGATAACACGAAATCTATCGTCATAGATGGGCTGTGAGACGCTCAGAATTCGGCTAGTGATGGAAAAAAAGAGAGTTAATCGCAAAATATTCATTTTTTCAAGTGGCTCAATTTGAGTGGGAAATTTCTCCTTATATACTCGCTTTTCCTTTTCAAAATTCCATGATAAAAGGGAAAAAGGGAAAGAACATCTGGAAGGGATTAGTTTGGAAGAGGTTATTTGAAAATTTCACTGTTTCAAAATAATGAATCATCAAAATTCCATTCTATTTTTAGGTTCCAAGGATTACTTGGGAAATAAGTTCAGAGGGCGTAAGCCGCGACTCGTGCCGCCGACCAAGAATTAGCGCGAGAGAAATTCCATCGAGAAGTTACGTTTTATTTTTAGAAAGAACAGGTGGAAAGGATTAGGTGGGAAATGAGGTTCAGAGAACGAAAGCCGCGACTCGTGCCGCCGAATGGGTATTAACACCCTTGCTTTATCAGCAAATTCCATTGAGAAGATTCATTCTATTTTTAGCAAGACGGGATTAGGTGAGAAATAATGTTCAGGACAAGCCGCGAATCGATGAATTTACGCATCAGCAAATCTTGAAATTTTACTTAGTTGACAGTGGTCTCGTGCCGATTGTTTGCTGTATTCAATAAAGCGGAAAAAAACTTGAGGCAAAACTTAAGATAAAAACAAGCGGCGAGTATCCGATCAGGTGCTTTTATTATTCGAAAGTATTGGTTAACTACCAGAAATGAACTTCCAAAACACAAGTATCGTGTGTCTTTTCAGGTGGTCAAAAACGTTTTTTTAACCTTGACCGGGCTCTTAAAAACGCGTGACATTGGGTATATAAGCGGGACTGACCGGTTAAGCTCGCACAGACATGGGCGACATATTTTTGAGCTACCTTGAATATGATCTTTTTGAGTTTGAAACTCTTGCAAAAAGGATCCAAAGGGCCAGCGCCTCTCATTTTGGTCGCATAAAAATTCTACTACGTACACATTACCAGGAGATGACACCGAGAGAAAGGCGTCGAGTTGCCCGCATGATCCGTAAGTTATTTCATGCTGGAAAATTATTAAAGCGGCATAGGGAGAAAAGTTGAGGAGATTGAACGAACACTGACGCTAAGCCTTGACAAGCTCGACAATTTGTCTACTGATTTTGAAGACGCTCTTGAATCTGATCTCATCTAATCATCTGAACCTTTTTTTTCTTTGATATGTTCAGAATGAGATTTCATGTCTATCTTGATGAAATTGATCCATTTTGGCTCATGTGCGCGGCTCGCTATCTTTTCATTACGCCCGAATGCGTTTTCGGCCCCGATTACCGGCGAAATATTGCCTGTGTCAATCTATTAAAAAATTTTTATACAGTCTACTGCGCGAACGGGTTTTTACCGTCAGACTGTGAAAAAATCTTTTCTATGACTTTTTCGAGAATTGAAATTGACAGGCGTACCCAAGAAATAATTCCAAAAGAAATTCTTGTCATGAGCTGCAGAACCATTTTTTATGAAAAAAATAATGGGCGAATCTATTACCATTCGACTGATTGCAAGTCTGTTCTGCATAAATTGAAGCAATATTCGCGTCTTTCTGGGCCAGAGCTTTACTGTTTTTGGGTGACTAGTCTTTCGGCGTATTTGAATAGACCAGCTTGCTCTGTAACTGAGGCCAACATCCATTCTGTCTCGAAATTCATAGACCGCGGCATCGAAGTCTATAGCTTTACAGACGGCACGCTCACCTTTGAGTTTGGTAGCTATCTTGAAAAAATCGAAACCCCGCTCCGCATCATCAAACCTGATATCAAGAGTATTGCTGAGCCTTGTCTCGTGATCTACAACGACCAGATTGTCGAAACAGCCATTAAAAAGGTGAACATAGTAAAAACGTCTTTGACTAAAAATAAGCCTGCTACAACTGATTCTGGTCTCGGCTTTCCGTTGGACGCAATGATGGAGCAGTTTTTCCTGGAAAATTAATCTTTACGTGCATTCTCTCTTACATGGTTTATTCCTGCATATTCATATTATTTTTTTTGAGTTTTTTATTCCATCCCTTTGATCGTCTTTTTTTTTGTTTATCTTCTTTCAAAAGCAGTTTAAATGGTGTACATGGTTTGAATAAAACATTTAGATAATGCGCTATATTTAGGGTTCGCGCCCAAAAATCAAGTGCCCGAAATACTTATTGTATCTGTCTAAATTTCAGATATATTATAGATAAGGGCATTCAAAGAATATATTCTTTCAAAATTTTTCTAAATATAAGAGGGTTGAAGAGAAAATGAGCCCCAAAATTGGCGAAAAATGGGTTGAGCATGTTAGTCAGCCCAAAATTAAAAATTTCAAAAACGGGGATGATCAGTAGAATCTTCTGATCTTTATTTGATAAAAAAATTTTGGGAAACATCTACGGTTTCGCTAGAAATTAGAAAAAACCGCCTTTTTTGGCAATATTTTTCTGTTACGTGATCATGCGCGCGCACGCGTAACAGCGCGTGATACGGGGTGGCAACGCAAAATTCCAATCAATTTTGCCAGAATATTTTCATCCTTCGGTTTTAACAAAATAAATGAAAAAAGAATTATTTCGTTGAAATAATCAAATCGTAAATAAACTCATGAGTAATATAAATTTATAATTTTAATAATAAAAAACTTCAAAAAGTCGTTTTAAAAACCATAATGATGAATAAAAACGGGTCAATAGATATAAATTAAGGAGAGGGAGTGGGTGGGGATGGGGACAGGACTGAGATTGAAACACAGCTGCCTCTCTCAAGCCCATTTAAAATTAAAAGCCAGGGACGGGGCTGAGACGGCCCGAAGGGCCGTCAAGCCCATTTAAAATTAAAAGCCAGGGACGGGGCTGAGACGGCCCGAAGGGCCGTCAAGCCCATTTAAAATTAAAAGCCAGGGACGGGGCTGAGACGGCCCGAAGGGCCGTCAAGCCCATTTAAAATTAAAAGCCAGGGACGGGGCTGAGACGGCCCGAAGGGCCGTCAAGCCCATTTAAAATTAAAAGCCAGGGACGGGGCTGAGACGGCCCGAAGGGCCGTCAAGCCCATTTAAAATTAAAAGCCAGGGACGGGGCTGAGACGGCCCGAAGGGCCGTCAAGCCCATTTAAAATTAAAAGCCAGGGACGGGGCTGAGACGGCCCGAAGGGCCGTCAAGCCCATTTAAAATTAAAAGCCAGGGACGGGGCTGAGACGGCCCGAAGGGCCGTCAAGCCCATTTAAAATTAAAAGCCAGGGACGGGGCTGAGACGGCCCGAAGGGCCGTCAAGCCCATTTAAAATTAAAAGCCAGGGACGGGGCTGAGACGGCCCGAAGGGCCGTCAAGCCCATTTAAAATTAAAAGCCAGGGACGGGGCTGAGACGGCCCGAAGGGCCGTCAAGCCCATTTAAAATTAAAAGCCAGGGACGGGGCTGAGACGGCCCGAAGGGCCGTCAAGCCCATTTAAAATTAAAAGCCAGGGACGGGGCTGAGACGGCCCGAAGGGCCGTCAAGCCCATTTAAAATTAAAAGCCAGGGACGGGGCTGAGACGGCCCGAAGGGCCGTCAAGCCCATTTAAAATTAAAAGCCAGGGACGGGGCTGAGACGGCCCGAAGGGCCGTCAAGCCCATTTAAAATTAAAAGCCAGGGACGGGGCTGAGACGGCCCGAAGGGCCGTCAAGCCCATTTAAAATTAAAAGCCAGGGACGGGGCTGAGACGGCCCGAAGGGCCGTCAAGCCCATTTAAAATTAAAAGCCAGGGACGGGGCTGAGACGGCCCGAAGGGCCGTCAAGCCCATTTAAAATTAAAAGCCAGGGACGGGGCTGAGACGGCCCGAAGGGCCGTCAAGCCCATTTAAAATTAAAAGCCAGGGACGGGGCTGAGACGGCCCGAAGGGCCGTCAAGCCCATTTAAAATTAAAAGCCAGGGACGGGGCTGAGACGGCCCGAAGGGCCGTCAAGCCCATTTAAAATTAAAAGCCAGGGACGGGGCTGAGACGGCCCGAAGGGCCGTCAAGCCCATTTAAAATTAAAAGCCAGGGACGGGGCTGAGACGGCCCGAAGGGCCGTCAAGCCCATTTAAAATTAAAAGCCAGGGACGGGGCTGAGACGGCCCGAAGGGCCGTCAAGCCCATTTAAAATTAAAAGCCAGGGACGGGGCTGAGACGGCCCGAAGGGCCGTCAAGCCCATTTAAAATTAAAAGCCAGGGACGGGGCTGAGACGGCCCGAAGGGCCGTCAAGCCCATTTAAAATTAAAAGCCAGGGACGGGGCTGAGACGGCCCGAAGGGCCGTCAAGCCCATTTAAAATTAAAAGCCAGGGACGGGGCTGAGACGGCCCGAAGGGCCGTCAAGCCCATTTAAAATTAAAAGCCAGGGACGGGGCTGAGACGGCCCGAAGGGCCGTCAAGCCCATTTAAAATTAAAAGCCAGGGACGGGGCTGAGACGGCCCGAAGGGCCGTCAAGCCCATTTAAAATTAAAAGCCAGGGACGGGGCTGAGACGGCCCGAAGGGCCGTCAAGCCCATTTAAAATTAAAAGCCAGGGACGGGGCTGAGACGGCCCGAAGGGCCGTCAAGCCCATTTAAAATTAAAAGCCAGGGACGGGGCTGAGACGGCCCGAAGGGCCGTCAAGCCCATTTAAAATTAAAAGCCAGGGACGGGGCTGAGACGGCCCGAAGGGCCGTCAAGCCCATTTAAAATTAAAAGCCAGGGACGGGGCTGAGACGGCCCGAAGGGCCGTCAAGCCCATTTAAAATTAAAAGCCAGGGACGGGGCTGAGACGGCCCGAAGGGCCGTCAAGCCCATTTAAAATTAAAAGCCAGGGACGGGGCTGAGACGGCCCGAAGGGCCGTCAAGCCCATTTAAAATTAAAAGCCAGGGACGGGGCTGAGACGGCCCGAAGGGCCGTCAAGCCCATTTAAAATTAAAAGCCAGGGACGGGGCTGAGACGGCCCGAAGGGCCGTCAAGCCCATTTAAAATTAAAAGCCAGGGACGGGGCTGAGACGGCCCGAAGGGCCGTCAAGCCCATTTAAAATTAAAAGCCAGGGACGGGGCTGAGACGGCCCGAAGGGCCGTCAAGCCCATTTAAAATTAAAAGCCAGGGACGGGGCTGAGACGGCCCGAAGGGCCGTCAAGCCCATTTAAAATTAAAAGCCAGGGACGGGGCTGAGACGGCCCGAAGGGCCGTCAAGCCCATTTAAAATTAAAAGCCAGGGACGGGGCTGAGACGGCCCGAAGGGCCGTCAAGCCCATTTAAAATTAAAAGCCAGGGACGGGGCTGAGTATTTTTCTATTTTTGTTTATAAGAAAATATTTAAAAAACCTTTAATAGAAAATAGAAAATGTTTTATTTGAAAAAAATATTTAATAATTTTTAGTTTTATATTTTTTAGATTTATATTTTTAATATTAATTGACTTTTTAAAAATCTTTCTTTGAAAAGAGAGAATTTCTTTGAAATGAAAGAAAATCGGATTTCGCGGCGTTCACCCTAGCCGCGTCAGAGAAATGCCTGAGGGCGAACGCCGCGCTGTGCGACGCGCGCCGCGCAAAGATGGTCAAAAATAGACCTTCAATTGTCAATTACAGGATGTTAGTCATCTGTTTCCCATAATTTTTGAATGGAATATTGTTCTTCTTTATTGAAATTTTATATAGATCTAAAAAAATTCTGGGAAACTTTTGACTAACATGGTTTTTTAACATTAATTTCCCTATATCTCTTCAACCCTTTAATTTTTTTTTCTCGAAAATATGTTTTTTAGATCATCAAACAGGTTTATTCTACCTGTAGAAATTTGAAAACAATTCCATTTGTCTATCAGAAGATAGTTTTTTTGGGCGCGAACCCTAGCTATATTCTAAATCGTGAAAGAGATGCAGGGTACAATCCTTTTCTTTTAATGGCGTATATAATCGGATTTGGTTTCGACCCGGAACCTTACTTTGGGAGAAGAAAAGATCGGCGAAAACTTCTTTATCTCACAGAATTCCACGATCAGCATGTTCATCTTACCATCAAAGAAATCGAACATTATTTCGTTGTCAATTTTTGCTCTATCGATTACGATATTTATAACCGGAAATATCAGCCAGACAACTTCTTCCTTATCAGTGAAAGAACCGTATTTTTCCAAATTGAAAATGGCAACATTTGGTTCCATTGGATCGACGGATTCACACTGCTCCAGGCACTCGAGAAAAAACGTTGCATAAATTGCCCAAGTGATTTGCGTAAGTTATAAAAAATGGACTAGGAATAAGCATTTTTTTAAGTTTCAAAATACGCTCAATCGAGGAGTTCTTTAAAGTACCAGACTTTATGACACTCCGTTATCGAGATCTCAAACGACTCAGTGTTGCGTTACAAAAAGACATCGAACTTTACGTCCTTCATGACTCACCCAACATAAGGCTCTTCCATGCCAAAAAGAAAAAATTCAAAAACGCGCCTCTTCGTCTCTTGGTTGATGACGGTGAGAAAAACATGGACACTGTCATATGGCCGATTCTGATAATCCACAATGAAAGAGCAATACCAAACGATCGTGTGTGCCCAAATCCAGGGTGTTACTATAGAACCCATCTTACATTCAATTTTGAGAGACACTTCAAAATCTGTAGTCAGGCAAAAACACCGATAACCTCAAAGCAAACTGCGTACGGGCAACGAACCGACATCATTTGGAAGCTTGTTGAAGAAGCATATCTTCCTAAAGAAGCACTGAATTTTCGCAAAACAAAATTTGGTAAAGATTGTTTTTGTTAAAAATAATAATTTTTAAGTCTGCTATGATATTGAAACCTTTGAAAAAGCAATGCGGGAATCAACAGATTGTACAGTTGTCCACGCATCTCACCAGCTGCTGAGTATTGGTATTGGATCAAATTTTGGATACGAGTCTGTGATTGTAAGGGAAGATGACACTCCGGGAGCAGCGAAAAAAATGGTCAATCTCTTTGTGCAAAAATTGAAGATGGCGGTGGAATCTGCAGATTGTTTTCCAGAATATTTCTATCGCGCGATTGTAACACTAGAAACTGAAAAGCTTCTAAAAGACGACAAGATTGAAAAATCCCGATTGTCTGCTCTTCTTCGAAAACTCAAACAATACATGAAGATTGACGTTTTTGGCTTCAATTCAGCGAAATTTGATTTACCTGTATTGGTGCCCTACCTGTTTCCCGCTCTTCAGGCAGAGTTTGGGAAGTTTAACGTCATCAAAAAGGGCGCAAGATATTTTCTCATCGAAACATCGTGCTGTAATTTCAAAGATGTGCTCAACTTTACGACTCCGATCAAACTGGCAAAGTATCTGAAGCAAAATGGTGTCGAAGAAGAAAAAGGAATTTGGCCATACAATCTGTACAACTCGATCGAAGAACTGAAAGCTGCAGACATGTTTCCAACTCACGATAAATTCTATTCCGATTTGAAGAAAGCCAACATCCCCCTTGAGCTTTATGAGGAGAATTTGAAGATGTTCACCGACTTTAAACGAGAAAATTCATCCTATAACATGCGCGATTGGCTCAAAAGATACAATACCCTGGATGTTACTCCTCTTGCAAAAGCAATCGACAATTCTTTCAAAAACTTTCAAAAAGTTTTTGGAATGGATCCGGCCGTCTCCTTGAGCTTACCCGGTTTTGCTCAAAATTGCCTTTTCTCCCTCTACTCTGAAGATGCTGCACTATCACGTAAGTAAAATGATCCTTTTCTGTGGTTTAATATCATTTAGACTCATTTCATCAGAAGAATGACGAAATAAGAACACTTTTTCGAAACAATATTGTTGGTGGACTGGTCAATGTTTTTTCTCGGTAAATCGCTTTTAGTTATCCAAACTTATCGTTTTTTAGCTATACTGAACTTGGTGATGAAGAAGCTCCTCACAATGCGAAATTCGCCCAGAATGGAGAGCGTTTCTCCAATATATCGTTTCTGGATTTTAACGCTCTCTATCTCTGGGCGGAAAATCAAAAGCTACCGACCACCCAGGGTATTCTTTGGGAGAAGAAATCAAACAATTTTGTCAAAAATATAATGACAAATGGAAACTCATTCGTTGCTCTTCAATGGCTTCTCTTTGCCGAAGAAAATGGTAAGAAATGGTATCATGAACATAACCTTATATCTTTTAAGACCCAAATCTGACTGACAAAAATGGTAACAGGATTCGCCTTCAGCATCAGTATTTCCGAGGGGAGCATTCAGAAGAGGGTCGCAAGGTCGACGGTTTTGCGATTGTCGATGGTGTCAAAGTATTTTGGGAGTTTCTTGGATGCAAATTTCACAAGGACTGCCCTCGGTGTCGCCCAAACGAGACAGATGAAGCTTGGGAAAGAAAAAAGGCATTCTTGGAGTCACGTGGTAAAGTCATCTTCATCCACGAATGTAAATGGAGAACAATTGCGCGCAGCGTCAAATGGAAATCAAAATACCTACCACTTATCGAAAAAAAAACAGGAACTGAAGAGCAAATTCTGGCAGGAATCAAGGATGGCTCGCTTTACGGCTTCATTGTCGCTGACGTTCGATGTCCCCTTCCAATCTTCGAAAAATTCAAAAATCTAAATTTTCCTCCGGTTATACAGCGACTTCAAATGACACCAGAAATGCTCTCCCCATACATGAAATCTCGAGTCGAGAGAGAGAAAACAACACTAAGAGAAACCGTCGTGCAAACGTTCAATGGTGATGGACTGTTGATGTTGACAGAGACCGCAAAGTTTTACATGGACATTGGTCTCGAAGTAGGCAACATAACAAAATTTATTCAATACCGTGGAGAAAAGATGCTATCTAAATTCGTCAGTAGAATTACAGAAGGTAGAATTAAGGCAATTCTGGATAAAGAAAATGAGCTCGGACTTGTTTACAAGACAGTTGGTAATAGTTCCTACGGCAAGCTTGGACAAAAGGTTAAATCTATTTGTTCGACAGTAAATAACTCTATTAAGGTTGGGCAGCCAACAAACGTTTATGGTGACACGAGATTTTTGACAGAACAGTCAAGAAAAAAAACTTTCAAGTATTTTACCCCGCTTGAGATGGAAGACGGTGACTGTGACTATTACGAAATCACTCGAAATTCAACCAAGGTCACGGACAATAAGCCTTTACCAATGTGCGTTGCAATCCTTCAGCACAGCAAACTTCTATTCTTACGATTCATCTATGATGTTGTGTTCGAGTTTTTTGAGCCCGGATCCTACAAACTCTGCTACTGCGACACTGACAGCATCGCAATAGGTAAGCACTCACTTCATATAAAAACTTATTTATTTTAAGCGACAACTCGCTCAGCAAAGTCTGGCCGGACAACGAGACTCGGAAAAAGCGAAGATACATTCTTCCCCATCGTAAAAGAGGGTCGATTAGAAGAGTTCAAAAAGGTTTGGACAAAGTGGTTCGTTCTTGACGATACCACTCGCACTGAAAAAACACCTGGGTTACTAAAGGTCGAGTGGGAGACTTCAGTGGGGTCGCTTGTGGCGCTGACATGCAAGACATATCAGTGTGAGGGGAAGGACAACAAGCCTGAAGAAGTGATCAAGCGATCGACAAAGGGGACACCACATTCTCATTCTATCGAGCAAACAACATTTAAACGCGCTTTGAAAGATGAGCTTGCTGAAAGAGACAATCAAGTTGATATAAGTCGCCTTGGCCTTAGAAATCATAAAATGCAGCGTCTAACTGTCACAAAAAAAATGCTCAGTTCAATTTTCTATAAAATGCAGCTTGAATCTGACGGTATCACTTCGCGACCTTTGCAAATAAACGGTGTTTATCTTTAATCATCATTTTCCTTTTTTTAGAATGCTTTTTGATTTTATGGAGCGCGATGAGCTTCTTTCGATCCTTGATAAGTTTGGCGGCAAGCTTGATTATCTGGACGCAACTGAGGAACAATTCTTAAGGGAGAAAAATCTTTTAAGATTTCAAAGAAATCACATTATATTTCCGAAAAACCGTTCTCGAAAGACACGAGCAGAAAATATCACAATTATTACAACTCTTGGTGGAGAATTTGACCTTCAAGTATTCATTCGCGAAATCTTGGATAGCCTTTCCTCGCCATTTCATATAATGATTGATTTTGGAGTGCTCCTGTTCCACCCGACTAGCCACGAATTCCGCTATATGTGGGCTGAGCGATATACAGCGCTTCCTTTACCACCAAGAATATCATCTGATGAAGAACGAGATAATTTTTTTAATTCTTTTATTTCAATGGACATAAGCTCAACAGTTTTAGAGGCGCATGCCAGTCAATCTCATTTTGACAAGAGTGGCTTCTGTTTTCGGAAATTTCTGACATGCACTGTTTTCCTCTCCAAAATTCCAGATTTCTAAAGCAGCTCCTTTGTCACGTTCCCGAATTCATCCAATGTCAACTTCGTCATCACACTCGTAAAAACAACTTAATTTTTGTTAATCATTTTTTATCTGCATGACACTTACCTAAACTAAGATTTTCTGTAACATCAGTTTCAAAATCAATAACAAAACTTATCCAACCATTTGAATCTTCTAATTCTCCCTGAAACTCGTGTGAAAATAAAAGCGCTTTCTTGAAATCAAAAATTGTGTCAATCGCAGGTGATGAAACATCATAGATATTGCAAAGTATGTCCTGATATTTAAGATAGGGTTCCAAAGGGAATTCAGACGAAATTGACTTAAAACATTTTAGATAGGATAAAAGAACTCGATATTTACCATAGGATATCCATGACAAGACTTCCCATTGAGCAAAATATCAAATGTTTTCACATTGTTTTGTAGGAAAGAGATAGTCTCGGAAGAGTTGCTTCCGAGCAGCAATGGCGTCTTTGTTATTCCTGCAAAAAGATAAAGTGGAGTGTTCCCTCCAACAAGATTTTCTAATCGGACGCGGCGATCATGTTGAGGAATAGATCTTATTTTGGTTGTGAGATCATCGTACTTGTAGGTGATTGTGTTTCTGTTTGAGATGTGATCACGCAAATCTTTACTCGAAACATATTCCACTTTTGCAAAGCAGTCTTTTAGCTCAAAGACACCCTCAATGTCTGGGTTCTCGTCCTTGATTTTGATTGTCGAAAACAATGCTTCCTGACGTGCAAAGGACAAAGCCATTTCCACATTAGGTGGAAGCGGCTTGTTATCCATGAGAAATCCGTCAGTAGGAATCATCATCAGCTGGTAGACATATTTACCATCCTTAAGGATAGTTCCTGATCTGCGGGTATTGACTAGATTTTGCTGATTTGTAGAAGTCAATTCACCATAATTGAAGTCATCAAAATATCCTTCTGTCCGAAAAAATGATTCCATATAGTTTTTCGTAAAATTTACTTTCTTGAAAAGCCAATCTTTCAAGTAGTAATCGATCTGAGTGTTTGGAGTTATTGGTTGACTTTGCAACTCAATTTTAAGTGCTTTAAACTGCTTTGGCGCAAAACCGTTTTCAACAACATACTTTGCATCGACTTCGATGTTGAAAAAAATTTGAATATTATTTTTAACAAGGCAAAGGTTCGGGTCAGCTTCAAAAACGAATTCGAGCTTATCGTTGTTGTTTACTCGAGGATAATGTTTTTTGATCAGTTTTTTATCTGGAACACTCATTTTTGAAAAATAAAATCATTCACTCCTTTTTATATTCATTGAGAATGCCCTAAAGGGCTCAAAATAATTTGCCGATATCAAACAATAAAAATCACTTCAAATACCTAAGAGCCATTTTATTCCCCATAATTTGGTGACATGATGAAAAAACTGTATGCAGTGAGAATGCAGGTTGATGAGGACGCAAAATTATCAGAAGAAGATAAATCGATAGAGTAGATGGTATAGTCTTTGTGAACGCTCTTGGCGTCGAGAATAAGATAATCACCAGTCTCAAGGTAAACGACTGCCGTGTACTCGTTCATGATTGAAAATTCACACTGAAAGCAGGGTATCGCAGGTGCGTAGGGCGAGTTCTCCTGCACGACAGGAAGTGTTTTCCATTCAAGTTTAGACGCATAACTTTGCTCGGGTGTATTTGTAGGCGCTCGAAAAATATGTGGATCCATAGTGCTATGGTTTTTGAACGAAAATTCGCTCGATGCTATTTCACTGAAAAAGCTCTGTGATTTTTCTGCTTTCTTATTTTTTGAAAACGCGTTTTTCACTTTCTTCATCATTTTGTGATTTGTAACAAAAAGGCTTGCTTATATGCGGGTAAAATAGCTCGGGGTGATTTTATTTCAAAAATAATAGAAAAATAAAGACAGTTATTGCAAGTCCCAAATCGATGTATCTCTTTGGCTTGAGAAAGGTTTTTTGAACATCGAGAAATTGCTTCATCCCTTTTTCTTTTACCAACATGAGATACTTGTTCATGAGCCGATCAACAAGGATAATTTTCATCTTTAATTGAAGTTTTTTCATTGATGATTCATCAATTACTTGAGAAGCTGTATTCATGACGAGAACAGTTGCGCATAGAACAGCTTGCAAATTTTTGAAAGACGCTTCTTCACACGCAAGTTTCTCAAGTATATCTAGACAAACATAAGTTCATCTTGCCCTATTTACCTACCTTCATACGTAAAAGAAAACCAAACTGCGGATTCAATTGTAGTAACACGTCTTCGATATGCATCAAGAAGTCTCTTCCTATTGACATCCATGACGGATAAGTTCTGGTTGGAAAGTTGGTGAGTTTGCTCAATTGTTTGATAGGCCTCTTGGCTAGTTTGGACTAAATTTTCCGAGAGAAGAAGATTCGCAACATCAACGAAAAAATTTGCTTCGCTGCACATTTTGACGATTTTTCGCAGGACGCTTGGCTTAAATGCAAAACAAAAAAAGCCCGAGGCAAAAGAGGACAGTTTCAATAAAAGACACATTACTCAGTATTTTTTTATTTATTGTCGCGAACACACCAATTTTTAGAAAGGAAATGGGTAAAGAGCACAGAAATCATTTATGTCGCTTCTTTTTGGATTTTTTGTGTTTTTTCTTGACAGTGTTCTTCGATATCGGTTGCTTATTCTTTGAATCTTTTTTTCCCCAGAATTTTTCTCGATTTCGAAGCGATCGCGAGATTGCGGCCATTTGTGTCGATTTTAAGGTTGATATAGGCAAAATCTGGCGGAATTGAAATTTCGCCACGGAGTTCGATGGCGAGTTTTGCTTTTGATAGGTCATCAACGTGAAGCTCATATTTATTTACAATTTGAGCCTGATAATTGTAACAAGTAACCCCCGAGGGGATTAAAAAATTCGAAAGAACATGTTTTTTAATCGAGTCTTCAATATAGAAAGCCACGTAAATTCCAGACGGGTTCGTACTCAAATAGAGGCCACTTTCAAAAAGGGATACTGTCATTGTTAGAAGATCACCAGGGCGAAATTTTGGAAGGGCGAATTCAAAATTTTTTGCTGTTGTAAGATTCAAAATCGTCGGCGATTTTACGAAGCTCATATAAGTAATGTGAGCCGGAGACTTCTTTGCCACCTAAGCTGACGAGTTTATACCAAACAACTCCCGCCTTTTGCTTATGGGACTTGATTTTGTAGACGTCCGTCGACCAGTTCTGCTTGTATCCCTTGTCAAAAAGACTCTTTTTTCTCAAAATTCGAACAATGTTTCCTTTCTTGAGTTTTGGCTCGACTACAAGATCAATGTCAGGATAGAGCTTTTTAAAGATTTTTTCGGTATCTTCGTAGGTTACACGCTCAGGGGCCATTCCAATTGAACGATGAGGCGTTGAATTATATCCAGCTGCGACGTCATCAATAATATCAAGCCATTTTATTGTTTTATTTGTCGTCATGTATTTTTCAATTTTTGTTTTTAAAGTCCGATTCACACGTTCAACCATTGAAGCTTTGATTTTCGTAAGAATACTGTAATGGTGGATATTAAATTGGTCGAGTATTTTACGCGTCGGAGCATTATAAAATTCTTTTCCTTCATCCGTTATTAAGGTGTTTGGCAGTTCATCAAGGCCTGACAGTATCTCCTCGACAGCTTTACTCACTTGAGCTCCACTTTTTTTCTTTAATGGCCTAACCCAGATAAATTTTGAGAAACAGTCAATCATGACTAGAATGTATACAAAATTCCTGTTTGCATATTTCATCTTTGGACTTCTTGTATACTCGATTAAATCAGCCATAAATATCTGACGCGGATGATTGACGATTATTCGCCGTCTCGGAAATTTCTTTTTGACGATTCTTCCATGTTTACTATTTGCTTCATCAGCTTGCAAAAAATCCTTAATTTTGCTCGAATACGCCGGTTTGCTTTTAACTCTCCGGTAAATTGACTCAATGTCATTGTCAATATCTGCTTGCGTGCCGACATTTATACCGGCAGGTTTTGCATATTTACGGAGGTTAACCATTTGATGAAATAAAAATTGATCTGCGACTTTTATGTTTCCATGATAAATAAACACCCGGGGTGATTTTGGATTCATTTATTTTCGCCAGTTTAATTTTCTAGATTTTCGTTTTTTTGAACGTTCGTCTTCGTCAGATGACGATGACGTGTATGATGACGTCTCTTGTTCTGATGAGCTTGATTCTGATGATGAGAACTTCCGTTTCCTCGGAACTGATTTGACATTTTCTTTTTTTGCCACTTTTTCTTCTTTTTTGAGAGATTTTTTGATTTCATTGTCGCTTTTTACTGTCGCTGTAAAGGTTGGTAATTTTGTTGTGTATTTCTCTTGGATTTCGAAAAATCTTCGGAAATCGTTCTCGCTGATAATGTAGGACTTCATGCCGGAAACTGACCAGCACACTGGATAAGTCGCCATTATATCCGTAAACATACGATAATTTGATCGATGCGCCTTCGGCGATAAGTTGATAAGAAAGTAGGGATACTTATCATATTTTGAATGCTCTTCTGCTTGTTTGTAAGCTTGGGCGAGCCCAAGAGAGCGACAGACTCGAAGGTTGATTGACGTGTCCAGACAATTCCGCAGAAGCACCTGCATGTTACAGCTGTTTCTTATGTCTCGAGCATAACGTCCCTGTGAATAACTATTTTGAGTCATTATCATAACACTCAAGTTTCGTTTACCACTGGTTACGCGAAATAAATGATCAATAGCCTCCGAATTAACGGCTTTATCGTAGAGATCGTCCAATACAATAAGCGAGTGACAGTCAAGATCGTCAATGTCGTCTTGATCAGGTAGACCTTGCGCAAAATGAATGGGAATGTTGATTCTATCGGATTGATCCCACGTTATCGGTTTTTCCTTGAGAAATCTCGGATAGTAGTAAACAATTTGTGAAGGGATTCTTTCGAAGAGATGGAAATTTTCACAAAGCAGACCGGCAATATAAGTTTTCCCAGATTGCGAGGATCCTGAGAAAATGCTTCGAAACGGATAAGGCAATCGGTAGTCCTCGGCAATGTCTCCCGAGATTGAAAAACTCATTGCGATAACGGCTTCTTTTGCTGTTGTAATTGAAGAAGCTTCGAAAAGAAATTAAGAACAAGAATGCCAAGAATGATGTAAAGAGAAGTGTTTTGCTTTGAAATATTTTTTTTAATGCAAGAAATGATATCTTCGTCGAGTTTCATTTGATTTTATTTTGAGATACAGGTGATTTTATAGAGAAAAAATTGTCCTGCGGCGTTTTGTAATTGAAACTATAAAATTTATCAGTTTTCATCATGAAACTTTAAACTTACTTTCTTCTCAGTATTCTTTTCGGAGACGAATCATTTTTGTGAAGTTTTTCAATTGATGAACTAAAAAAGATATTTTTTTTTACTTGTTTTGGCTTCATTACCGATAGCTCGGTCCGCACGATTTCTTGATGAGTGACGAACAATGCCATTGACGGAAGTCATTGGAAGTTTTTTCAACATGAACTTCGACAGGCATCTTACACATGATAGGAGCTCATCATCACAACCAAATACAAACTGACACTTCCAGCAATAAAAGTATTTCATATCTAAAAGGTAAGAAATAAGCCTCAGTATTGTGGTTAGATCTGTGTTGAGCGTTTTCTGGTTCCATTATCGCGACGGAGCCTTATTTATACAAATAGGATTCATGTAAAATTAAATACTATTAGGACGATGGAAAGATATTTCTGCGACACATTCCACATGTTTTGTTGCGATGATCGGTGACGTATCTCTCAAAGCAATTCTTGTGAAGTTCGTGACCACACTCTGGCCTGATTGCTTTTTGCCCGACTAAATTTGTTTATTTTACATATTTGAAATTATTGACGGCTTACTTTCAATATTTTCGATACATATGTAGCATTTGCTCGGTTCTCCTTCCCGTTTTCCGAATTCAACCGGGCCACTGAGCTCGAGAATCTGCATCTCATTCGTTTGATAAATTGCCTGATTTTCTCGTTGACTGGTAAGCTCGACAAAGCCTTCAATATTCCCAATATGTGTTCTGCTTAGACGACCTGCTATGAAACACATCGGACAGGAAATGGCATCGTTCGAGAGTTCCCAAAAAATTGAGCATTCCCAGCAGAAAAAAATAGACATGTCTTAATAATGATAAAAAAGAGATGATTTGATGGTTTAAAGTTTTCGAAAGACAGGATAGGTAAAATGGTTCACGGAAGAGGTTTTTCGTTCTTTTACTTAATTTCATTCAAACTTATTCAAAGAAATAAAAAGGTACCGTTTTCACCAAAACATATTTTCACGGCACATCCCACAAGAAGAGTGGTAATTGATGTATTTGTAGAAGCACGATGCGTGAACATGATGACCACATTCAGGTCGAACGGCTTTTTCTCCAACTTATTTTTTATTTTTATGAATCAATAATTTTTACATACACTCGATTTCTTCAATGCAAATATAGCATGTGTCGATTTCACCCTCTGTTTTCATGAATTCGATAGGTCCTTTCAGAGTGGGATTTTCCTCAAATTCGTAAATGATCTCTCTCTCAATTTCTTGTTGATTTTCAGCTGGAGCCTGATAATTGCCTTCAACAATTGCAGTTGCTTGATCAGCGTAAACGATTTCTGTCTCATTAACTTGTTGATTTTCATTTGGGGCTTGATAATTGCCTTCAATAATTGCAATTAGTGTGTCTGGAGAGGAATGATCAGCGTTACATTGCGGACAAATTGAGCTTTCTTGAAGCTCAATAAAAATTATACAATTCCAGCAGTAGAAAATCATTTCTAGAGATTTGGCCGAGGCTTACTTGCTTATATACGCGTGCTTACAAGCCGTGAAGTTTTCTCATTTTTCGAAGATTGTTATCAGATATTTATTCTTGCTTGAACACGTGATGAACGGAAACCAATTAGTGAACGGAAACGACACGTGCCTAGCCCTTGACCATCTGGTACCGTGAACTTGTCGGGCCAGGTGACCAGCTGGTCTCGGGCACTTAGGCCACTTAATATTTCGCTACTCGCGATATTACTACTATCTCTCTCTGTATATCTTCATATTGTCATAAAGAGTAGATCAAACTGTATAGTTTTGAAATTGTATTTTATTCCATTTTTGTGTTTTGTTTTTCAGGCTAACATAAAGTTACTAAAATCTAAGAGGGTGCATCGTTTATAAAGGGCACATTTTCACGGCAAGGTTTTTCCGCGCCCATCCCGATCCATCGAGCTGTAATTGTATGTATTCTAGTGTTGTAGCGTACCAGCTCTCGGATCAGGATGGACTTGGATTACAGGGCTAGGGTCGGACCCCTTACTAAGGTTTCCTTAGTTACTAAGGGTAAGGGTTTTGAAATTGATGAAAATCAAGAAAGGCCTAAGGAAGGACTAAGGGCCTTCCTTACTAAGGCCTTAGTAACCTTAGTAAGGATCTGATTAAGTGCGATTCGAAAAAATGTTCTTATTGATAAAAATTGCAATAATTTAAGTTTATTTGGTATTTTTTGCTGTCAGTAAGTTAACAAGAGACATTTTTATCAAATTCCTTCACAACTCGTCCTTAATTCCCTTCCTTACTAAGGCTTTTGTAAGGGTTTTTTTGATAAAAGCGTTCTCAAAATGCTTAGGCCGTCAAAAAAATCCTTTTTATAATCCTTAGTAAGGAAAGGGATTAAGGAAAAATCGCTAAGGATTGAAGATCCTTACTAAGGATCTCTGAAAAATCAGAAAGGAACTATGGTAAGGATTTTTTTCCGCCGAAATCCGAAAAAGGGTAAGGAAAATATCCATACCTTACTAAGGAAAGGACCCTTAGTAAGCAAAAAATTAAGGAAGGAAGTCCGACCCTAGTTACAGGGGCTATTTACAGTCAATTCATAGTTATGTACCATAACATTTGATCTCGAAAGAAGAGGTTATACCGATTGTGTAAGACGGCTCTGGCGGCAGTAAGGCTACCTTGGCTGCGATTCTTGACGGACAGGGTGGACAAAGAAACAACCTACAGATTTCCGAACGGCCGAGTCCATTCATTTAAATTTTCTCTCAGGTCTTCATTTCATAGTTCTCTGAATAATTGCATCTTTAACTTAACGTAAAATTGTAAATATACAGTAGTTCTCTCATTTCTCTCGTTCAGACAATCGGCGCGGCCGCTGACTGGCTGAGGATGCCCCCTCCTGACAAAATCAGCCAATCAGCGCGCCATTTTCAAATTTTTGAAAGTTACGTGCGAGTTTTCTCTCTGCAAAACAATCTGTATGCTTATAACGGTTGGCCATAAATAATTGAAATTTGTCGAACCACATAACCGCCGCAGTGGAATCCTCAATCTTTTTATATTCTGAAGTTCGTAAAATCCGATGGTCACTTCTTGTTTATTTATGTTTTTGTTTGTTTTTTTTTTGTTAACATATGTTTATTTATATTTATGTTTATTTATTTGTTTATAAATTGTTTACATTATCTTAAGCATTATACAAGATTACAATAGTTCCCGCTGAATTGGGACGGTCCTAATAGCGGCCCCCGTACCAATTTGGCGGGCACTCTCGCCAGCCGCCGCGAGCGCCTTTTTCACTTTTCTCGAGGACCCAAATAGCTTCGCGCTGGCTTGGCGCTTGTCTTGTTGAGGATTGTTGACGGATTTAAAATGGAAATTTGAAGAGCTCAATAAATATATTTTCAGTTAATTTTAGCTAAGTTGTAGGAAAAGTATAATACAGTTTTAGAAAGCTCACGAGGTCTTCTTTTCTTCTTCAATCATTCTGAATCCATTGAGTCTAGATTGAACTAGAATTTCGACGATCCCATCATCGTCAAGAAGCGCAACTGGTGGGTCCACAAGGTTAGCAGCAAGGAGGTGGCCTTCCAATGGAACTTCTTGATGAACATGGGCATCTTCAAGTTTTTTCTCGATCGCTCATTCTTCGGAAGCTCTGTTCTGCACCGCTCCAATTGTTCCAAATCCGACAGTATGAAAGATTGAAGTCTTCTTTGTAGCATTGAACCCAGCATTTCGAAAACGTCAACTGTTGTATAAATGTATCATCTTTAAAAATATCTCTTGATTGAACAATTTTTGCAAATTTTGTTATTAAAAGATTACTAATGATACATCTATGGGCTTCGGCAACAATCACGTCGGAAAGCTGCTGCCGGAAGTGCCTGTAGGTGTCTGTAATTTTCTTCTTTCTTGTCGTTCTCTTCGTTGTCTTTGTTTGGAGGGGTGTAGGGCGGCCACGGTACAAAGTTGTATCGCCGTTACAAATTTGTACCGCCGGTACAAAAATTTTTGTACCGCCGGTACAAGCCAAAAATATAATCCGAGAAAAAGTGTGCGCTTCGCGCTAGAATTGAAGGAAACTCCTTACTGGTATAGCTGAGGTAGAGTTCCGTCCAAAAATGAGCATTATTGTGGGTAAAAATCGGTTTTTATTGTCAAAAAAATTATTATTTTTTGTACCGGCGGTACAAAATTTGTACCCGCGGTACAAATTTCACTTTTGTACCGTGGCCGCCCGCCCCCCGTTTGGAGTAAGCTCTCTTGATCTTTTATAATTCTATGAATGGTGTTTTTAGATGTATTTATGCTTAATTTTTCAATAGCTTATAGCTAAATTGTACTTTATATTCTACTTATAATCATTCAAATTCTGGACGTCGCTTTAGCATACAGCCGACCTACTCGAGTCCTCGACATTCTGGATAAAATAGGTAGTGGCTTAAAACGTCGTCCAGTTGCTGCATGTGCGGCCTAAAACGTCTCTCTTATTCCTGCGTGTGTTGCTCAAAACGTCTTTCCTGTTGCTGCATGTATTGCCTAAAACGTCTTTTGAGCCCCTAGGCTTAATGAATGAGTGAGTCCAGAGATGCTTGGTAAAGCCACGTCGCCTAACAGCCCCATAATTTCAACAATAGCTAGCCTCGACGATGACTCGGCTTCTTATGTAACGATGAGACAGGAAAAACAGATATTAGCCTAGGGGCCCAAAAGACGTTTTAGGCAACACACGCAGCAACTGGAAAGACGTTTTAGGCCTACACATGCAGGGACAGGAGAGACGTTTTAGGCCGCACATGCAGCAACTGGACGACGTTTTAGGCCACCACCTATTTTAATAATCGGCGCGATAATTCTCAACGCGAGCAAGACATCATCCGCGATTCACTTTCCGTTTTCCACCCTGTAGATGTCATTCACATTTCCTGCTACCCAACAAAACAAAGAAGCGCATGAAATTTGCTTCGTGTTGGGCCGCTGTGCGACCTTCATAATTCATAAAACCATCGTGCTGTTTGTTTACTCTCGCGAATTCAATGGCATCCATGCCGCCAAATCGTCCTTCGCCTCTCCATTCCTCGAACTGCCAGAAATTGACAGGAATGGAAAGCCTTCCAGTCACATCCGGCATTCGGCCTTTATTATTTCCCCAAGCCAAGGGCAAATGTGCCACCTGACAAATAAAGCGATTGTCCTTATCGACTTTACAGATCTCCTTGGCTTACAAGCCAGTGATGTGATCTTTCTATGATTCACATTTTCGATGCTTGATCGGGCCATAATTATGCGCGAAAGTAAGTCTCAAGAATTTGTCGCCTTTATACACACACGTAAAAATGTACACGTGACCGACGGTGGTGTCAAATTGTACTCCAACACTGTCATTCATAACTCCACTGTATTCGAGCGGGCTCGAGGTTTGTTTAAACAGAAGCTCGAGTTCGGTCCGAATTCCGATCTCGGAATTTGGGATTCTTTACAGAATTCAGTCACCACGAAAACCTGCCTGCGAATCTGCCTAAACAACACCCTCGTGTATCTCTGTTCGTATTAGACTGGTTTATTACGACCACAGTTTAGTGCGACAGAAACATAATACAGACAAACTGCTCGCGAGAGACGAAGGGCTGGAAACTGTTTTCTTTAGATCGCGAAAGGAAGTGGCAGTCCAAAAAGACCATACAAACCTCGATTGTCGTGAATTTTGTCGAAGAAATTTTAGAAATGGAACACTGGCGTAAAATGGAAGATAAGGACAGCTTCTCATGCAAAAGTAGAGACTCAAGAATATTTTATTATTCTTGAGCTCCTCGGCAGTTTGCGCTCGAAAATCATCTTTGAGATTTTTCATTAAATGAAAAAGACACGATTTAGAATTCGCGAAAAGATTCTCTTCTGTGAGCTGTTTTTGAATTGCATTGAGTTTGTCCAAAAAGTCCCTTTTGAAAAGTTCTTATTATTATTTCCTTTGAAAAAATAGCGATATCTTTGTCAAGCCGTTAATTTGCTGTAAATACAGACCGATTGGTCCCTCAGAAACCGCAAAAGAGGTACCTGATCGGAAATCAAAAATTTCGCAAGCTTCTTACAAAGGGACTTGACCTGCCATGAATTATTTTTTAGCGGATGCCCTTGGCCTTGCATTAGGGTCCGGCATGATCGGAGGACCTTATTTTTCAAAAGCGAAAATCTTATAGTATTAAGAAAAAAATCTTATGGGATTTAAGGGATTCGAATACGGCGAAAAAAATGATAGTGCCAATATTCTAATTCACCGCCGGAATCGCCGATTTCTCTCGGTTTTTCATACTTAAAATGGCTGCACAAACTTCTCTTTTTCAAATTTTGATGCATTCAGCCCTAAAAATCACAAATCTGCATAAAAAAATCTAAAAAAATTCAAGGTTTTTATGTGCTGTCCATTTGAAAATTATCCATTATTTATCATTATGTGAAAATTGAGGAGGCGCGCTCTGATTGGCTAAAGAGGAAGACATTCT